CACCGTGCCCATGGGAGGCAATCGCTGATGGCGGAGGGGGCCACCCCCTGCCTGGCTCCTGCTGCTCCCCTGCACAAACTCTGGGTCCCAACACGCTCTCTCCAAGAAACAAGGCAAAAGGCCTTGCTGCTGGAGAAGGGAAACGCATAGAGACCAGGAGGCAGAGTACATGCCCACAAAGACACAAGCAGGTCAGCCCCGCGATGGGCGGTATTCGCTGAGCATTGACCATGTGCCTTAACCAGCGGGGAACAGGGTCACTGTGCGGGGCCCAGTGTTTTACAGGTGTTTTCTCGTAATCACTTGCATCATCACCATCTCCAGTCTGTAGGTGGGAACCGCGGCACAGAGAGGTGGCGTATGTTGGCCAAGGTTGCGCAGTTAGTGGCAGAGACAGAACTGGCACTCAGGCCGGCTGCTCTTCACCACACAGCAGTTCTCAAGTGTGGCCCCACCAGCTGCATCAGCACCACCTGGGACAGCACCTGGGAGCTTGTTAGAAACACCAGTGATCACACCACCCCAGACCCACAGAGTCGGGGCGGGGCCAGCAGGCGGCCATGCCAATGCCCACGCAGGATGGAGAGCAGCTGGCTATGAGCTGGGTGGGCTGGGAGACACCTGCCCAGGCCTGTTCTTCACGTCCCTGCTGCCCAGCAGTGAGGGCTGGGCCACAGCACCCACATCAGGACTGGAGAGGGTTTGGGAGCCTCTCAAGACTCCGGGACGTGTGAGGAAGGAGAAGGGGGCTACGAGAGAGGCCCTGGAGCCTCCTGCTCCCACAGCCCTGGGTTCAAGGCGAAACCCAGGAGCCAGAGGGTGTGGGAAGGGTTGGTAGCTCTGCAAACGGAGGGGGAAGCCACAGGCTTGGCTGCAGCTCTGAGGGAGCCAGGGGATGTCTAGCTGAGGAGCAGGAGGGACCTCACTTGCCAGGGGATGTCTAGCTGAAAAGCAGAGATCTGGGATGAGGTTGCAGAGCGCACACGACGGTTCAGATCACCAGGGAAAGCTGCCAGTCCTGCAGGCAGCATCCAGGAGGCCCTGTCCGGGTTCGCAGGACTCTGACGGCTCCACCACGGGTTCTGAGAGAAGGACGGAAGGGCCCCACTCAGCACCCTCGCTGACTTCAAGGCCCCTCCTCAACGGGATGGAGAACGTCAGCCTGGGGGGCAGCTGAGTCCGGGGCAAGTGCTGTTCCCAAGAGGGAGGGTCTCCAGGGAGAGGGTGTGTTCCAGAATATTCCATCTCGGCCTGTCTGGGTGTGTGGGAAAGACAGGGAGGCCAAAGTCCACATGCGACGAGGCCAGTTCTGCCAAAGTGAGAAGAAGCAGACAGCCTGTGTCAGGGCGCCCAACGGCCTGGCTCATGGGACCACCCCACCAGCAAGGAAACGTTCCCACAGGAACTGGAGGCCAGAGCTGCCCCTCCCCCACCTCCTCCCGCCTGCCTTTGGGGCTCTACCAAGTGGCAAGGCTGTGCTGCTGCCCAGCACAATTCATAGCTACAGGGGAAGGGAAGGGGGAGGGAGCCCCGCCCTACCCGAGAGAGCTAGGCCGGAGACAAAGGGCTCGGGCCTGACCTGCAGGGAGGGGTTCAGGTTCTGTAAACACACACACACACACACACACACACACACACACACACACACACAGGAGACCTTTGCCCACCTCTGATGGAATTTCCCCTGTAGGCCTGGGCTGGCACTCACTAGGGGGCAGCAAAGAGCAAGACTACCAGCTCACCTGGAGGCACAAAGGACCATCAGCCCTGTTGGAAGGGCAGGCTCTCTCTCTCCAACCCCCCACCTTCCCGATGGACCCCATACCCCATGCTTCCAAGTAAACCCTTCCAGGAACATCCAACCTGAAATCTTCACACTGGCCTAACAACCCATTGGCATCTCACCCTCTTGGCCACACGCAGCATCTCCCACCGGGTCCATCCCTTAAGCATCTTCTGCCTCCTGGTGCCCATCCTCTCCACCAGCCCACATCACAATCACAGCCCCGCAAGACCATCTTGAGAACCTCACTAAGTGAGGTGCCACAAAAGCACCCTGCTGAGTTCTGGGCTCCAGCTGCCCCATCACTCCCCCTTCCTGCCATCCCACAGGTCATCATGGAAGCCTGGGTGAAGGGCGTGAACCCCAAAGGCAACTCCACCAACCCCAGCAACTGGGACTTTGGCAGCAGTTTCTTCTTTGCAGGCACGGTCGTCACTACCATAGGTAAAGGGCCGGGTGAAGAGGGGCTCCCCCTGTCTAGGTTTGGGTTCCCCAAAAGAAGATGCTGAGGCAAGGATGTGGTTCCTCTGGGATGTGATTTCAGGAAGCTCCGGGGGAGACGTGGGAAGGTGAAATAAGGAGGAAAGGCAATAAAGTTTGCATCAATGAGCAGGTTACTGGGCAGGGCCGCTGGGCTCACTCCAGACCCTCTGAGAGGCGAGGTGGAGCCCATCCTCAGAGCAGCCCCTGCGAGGGGCAAGAAAGCAGGGCAGTGTGTCTCCTCACGCCTGCCCTGGCTGGCTGAGAGCGAATCCTGGATGCGTTAACTCTCCAGCACTTGGACCTGCCCACGGACCAAGGGAACTCTTGCAGCTGAAAAATCTCTCAGGTACAAGATGCAGGGACTAGGAGGGAAGCCATCTGTGTGCACAGGAACTGTCTACAGGCTGCAGGTGCTGTGCCAGGGGTCCCAAGGGGCCAGGACACTGGGAGTGTCTGCTACACCCCTCAGCCGGAAACCCCAGACCCTCACTAACCCCATCTATTCAATTAAGACCAAATAGGTCCAACGCCTTCTTTGAGCTCTGGTGACAGGGGAGACAGAGGAAGGAGTGAGGGGGGTGGGGTTCATACAAACTTGGATCAGACCCTGACTCAGCCCTCAAGGAGCTTCCAATCCAGTGAAGAGGGATACAATAAACACCAAAAATAATAGCGCCAGGCAGAGTAGATAAGTAGGTAGAAATGACACAAAGCATTGTGGGAAATCAGACCTACTAGGAAGGTGAAGGGTGGTCCTCAGGAGGGCTTCCTAGAGGAAGTGTCATTTAAGATGGGCCTTGGAAGACAAGCAGGAGTCTTATAAATAGGAATCATCCTAGCAGAGAATGAGATGAGTGTTCACGTGACCAGGGGAGCTTCCCCTCCTCCCCCAGCGGCAGCTAAGACCACCCACCTCTGCTGGCGTCTGTGGGGGAGGCAGTTCTGAACTCTCTTCCCCACACTTCACTCCTCCTCCCCTGCAGGCTATGGGAACCTGGCCCCCAGCACCGAGGCAGGCCAGGTCTTCTGTGTCTTCTATGCCCTGGTGGGCATCCCCCTCAACGTGATCTTCCTCAACCACCTGGGCACAGGGCTGCGTGGCCACCTGACCACACTTGAGAGGTGGGAGGACCAGCCCCGACGCTCCCAGGTAGGCCCCACCCTCCCGCCAGCCCTGCTGTGACACATCCATTTCAGGTTAATCCTTTAGAAGCCAACACTGGCTGACAGAGTGTGGCCAGCAGGTATTAGGTAGGCACTGGTGGAAGAAAAGGATTGGGCGGAGGGCGAGGTTGGATGCCATGTGGCTGGGCAGAATTGGCCAACCCCTCCCGGAGCTCTGCAGCATGTATGGGCTGTCGAAGGTGTCCCACAGCAGGCTGAAATGATCAGGACTTTTTTTAAAATCTATTTTTATTGATTTCAGAGAGAGAGAGAGAAAGAGCAATAGTAACATCAATGATGAGAGAGAATCATTGATTGGCTGCCTCCTGCATGCCCACATTGGGGATCGAGCCTGCAACCCAGGCATGTGCCCTGACTGGGAATTAAACCACGACCTCCTGGTTCATAGGTTGATGTTCAACCACTGAGCCATGCCGGCTGGGCATGACCAGGACTTTACACCCCTGTAGCTGCCACACATCCTGAAGGAGATGACAGCTGGATGCCACCTGCTGACAGCTGGTCAACATGGCACACCTCCATGGTCATCACAGAACTCCAACAAACTCCAGGCCACCCGGCATGCCCCAGTGCCCACCCCACTGGCCAGTCCTTTGCAAAGCCAGGCACACTAGGAGGACAAGGGTGCGGAGGAAGCTGGGACGTTTCAGTGACAGTGCTCTGTCCCAGATCTGAGGCCTGGGGGACCTGTACTAGCCCAGAGGAATCTCCGAATTACAACTGACCCACCAATGCAGTCCCTCTGACCAGATCTTCCCCTGACACGGAGATCCAGGCCCCACCCCAAAGGTCTGCAGGGCAGAAAAGGGACCGAACTGTGACCCAGTCCCATTCCAAATTTCCCCCAGACTTTCCCCCCATACAGTCCTGGGGTCTCCCAGAGATGGACTCCCTCCCTCCCTCCAGGTACTGCAGGTGCTGGGCCTGGCTCTGTTCCTGACGCTGGGGACGCTGGTCATTCTCGTCTTCCCGCCCATGGTCTTCAGCCACGTGGAGGGCTGGAGCTTCAGTGAGGGTTTCTACTTTGCCTTCATCACTCTCAGCACCATCGGCTTCGGGGACTATGTTGTCGGTGAGAACAAGGCCTTCACATATCTCAGAGTCAGGGTCACCGGGATTGGGGAGTGGGGAGGTGTCAGTGGGGGTGACCACTGAGGACCAGATGGCCCCTGGTTTTTTGGAGATGAATGATTTCTGAGGCTGCTGTGAATTCTCACATCCTCAGAAGCTGCTGGTCTAGAATCCATATCCTTTCCCCAGAGCCCTCCATTGCTAATCCTTGTTATGGGGAGACTGGCAGGGCCCCAATGGACCCTGGGGGGTGGGGAGTGGCTGTGCCCTCAGATCCCTGGCATTTATCACATTCCCTTCCCGGCCAGGCACGGACCCCAGCAAGCATTACATCTCGGTGTACCGGAGCCTGGCGGCCATCTGGATCCTCCTGGGCCTGGCGTGGCTGGCGCTGGTCCTCCCACTGGGTCCCCTGCTTCTGCACAGGTGCTCTCAGCTCTGGCTGCTCAGCAGGGGCCTCCGCCTCAAGGAAGGGGGAGTTCCTGAGGCCAATGGGCTCCCCAGACCTCAGAAGATCCCCACCTCTGCATGAGCCCCGCCCCCCAGTGGCCCGAGGAGCCCCTCTCAGCTTCCCCCACCCTGTGCATGTGTTCTCTGGATTTCCCGCCCCACCCCCTCCTCTCCCAGCCAGGGCTGATCTCAGGAGCTCACTGGAGAGAGAAAGGAGGGAGGAGTGTCCCAGAAATACCAGAATGGAGATGGGGAGACAGGATCAATGACGGATGGGTGTGAAGCGAGAGGTTGGCCATTGTCCCAGAGCCCCTGCCCTTTTCCCCTCGAAGGTGACCAGACATGGATCACTGTGGCCAGAGCCCCACTGCCCTCCTCCCCGCCCCTCCCAGAGCCTCCTACAGGACAGCAAACAAAGGATGGCTGTACTCTGCCTCGTTGGATACCTGCACGGCCTTCACTGGTCTGGCCCCGTGATGTGCCAGGCACTGAGTCAGGCTCTGGGAAGGTCCTGCCCTCCATGTTCACTTAGTCAAGTGGAAGGACTAGCCAAGTAGAGGGGCAACCCCAACCCAGGGCCCAAAAGGCTATGATAAAGGCAAAGGGGGGGCCATGGGAACAGCTGGCAGGGAGGGAGGGAAGGGCAGGGGCCTTGGGGCATCTCGGTGCAGACAGGATCTGCCCTCAGGCAGCTCCAGTGCCCTGGCCTGGAAGTCCGGAGCTGTCCGCGAGCAAGGCTGAGGAGGTCCGGGTGTCCCGCCCACTTTCCTGGGAATGGTCTCCCCTGACCCTCCCCCAGGGCACCCCTTGACCCCATCACCCACTCTGGGCTCCTGTCCTCTTAAGAGCATTTCCAAACATATTTCCCTGGGAACGCGGAGAGTCGGCAGAACCCAGGAGACTTCCACGAAATGAGCTCCATGGAGGCACGGCCTCCCCTGGGAACCAGCTCTGCTGCCTGGCCTTTCTCCTGCCAGACCGCCACACCTCCGGCCAGAGGAGAGGAGAGACTGAGACCAGTCCCGCCCAGGCCCCACTCACCAAGGACTGCAAACCTCAGCCCCGGCCACTCCTAGAACCCCAAGCAAGGCAGGCCCTAAGTGGCCGGACCTCGGGAGGCTGTGAAGCAGTGGAGGCCTCAGGTGGGACGCCCAGGAAAGCATCTACAGCAGCGCGACCCAGATTACATCCCGGGACTTCCTGTTGAAGCTGAGGACCCCCTGGGACCCCTTACCACCAGGACCCTTCCTCCATTCTGGCTAGAGGAGGGAGTACGGGGCCTCCTCTGAAGTAGGGAGTGGACAACCCACTCACTGGTCAGGCCCCTCTGCCTCCCAGGCTCATGGACAGTGCTGACCAGCCCTGCCCTCATTGGATGCACAGAGGGGAGGATGAGGGTGTGGGAGAGCAGGGAGGGCTTGAAGCAGCAGTCCTTGGGGATGGTCCCGGATCCAGGGGCTCAGGCAGGGGCCCTAAGAAAATAAACTTGGCTTCTACCTTCTCTTCCCCGGTCTCCCGCAGTCCCTCCCACTGTTCGCTACAGGACAGCTGAGGGCTCGGGCCCTGAAAAGGAAGGGCCCGCTGCACCCCGCAGCCCTCCCCCTCTCCCTGAGCGGGGCTGGGGGGTGGGCACTCCCTACACATCCGAGGCGGGGCCAGATGCCACAGCTCAGGCCTCTTTTTGTCCCAGGGATTGGATCCCGGGGCGGGGTGGGGCACGCCTCCTCTGCTGAGAACACTGGGCAGAGCTGCGGTTGGCCCGAGAAGGGACCAGCAGAGCGCGGCCCTTCCTCTCCACCTGGGTCCTGGCCCATGGCTCCCCAGGCCGGCCGCCCTGTCTGTCCTACCATGT